CTGACTCCCACTTGGGCCCGTGACAGTCCGTACCAAGGCGGACTGCGCCAGCTATCCTTAGTTACCCATTCCCTAGGGTCTCACTCGTGGACCAACTCTCGGTGTTTTCGGTCGGCTCAGTAACTTCACGAGCACCCTGGGCAGTCAGCTTATTGACCGGAGCACAGCTTGGGGTCAGGAGGGGAGGAGTGGTTTATTAGGAGCGGAAAATTCGTCGTATGATCTGAGTATTAGATACCTATTGGCGATCGGTAGGGAGTCACGCAGAGGTTCAAAGGTTCCGACGCAGCTCCCGTCTTGTGACATTAAAAGTCTTTTCCCATCCAACAGCGACAACATGGGTTTTCCTTCAGCTCCCGAGACGCTCATGCCAACAGGCCGACATGCAGGGACCTAGGCCTCCGCTTTCTGGTCTGGGTTGGCCTGTGACCCGATCTAACACGGCCAGTCCAGGGCTCCTGAGGCTGAATTCATGAAATTCCCTGTTGTGGGAGGGTTGTCTTCCTTGATCAGTTGGACTGATCGGCGAAACGGATTTGCTCCACAAGGATAATAAAGCTGGAATTCAATCAAACTGAACCGCTCTCCAGTTCCTGAGCAATGAGCAAGGAGATCTTCCCCCTTGGCTAATACAGTCGTCTGTGCACAGCACCCATCTGATGTGCGCGACCTCCCCAGATGTTTAAGGGCAAAGCTCGGGGCAAACTGAACTTCTGCTCAGTCTTGTGGGGCTGTTTCAGGGCAGCTCTGTGCACTGATGCCCAGGGCGAGGGAAGAGGAGGCCCTGTTCAACACCTCAGGGTGTTGGGACGTGAGGCCATGCATGCGACGGAGCGCTGGCATTGAGAATCGGTGCTAAATCAGGACCAGGCCGGCTATTAATTAGTAATAATTAGCCTGCCTGACCCACGTCATTGCTCGACTGTCACAGCTCCCAGAGCAGACTGCTCCCGGAACGCGAAACAGCATCACCTGCACTGCCGGTCCCTGATTATCGGCCCACGTGTGACAGGGCCGCTACTCAAACAGGCTCGTTATCGCTCGCTCTCTCCCTGGGGTAATTAATCAGTGGCCTTCCCAGACGGGGCGGGGGGGGGGATAATATCCTCTCTCTGGCATCCCTCTGCTTTGCTCACACTGCCTCCCCTGAAATCGACCAGCGCAGCCCGTTCTGGCAGATAAGGACTGTTTCTCATCTGCAGGAACAGGAACCTGAAAGGGGATTTATTGGGCGTGTAATGGCCTTAAACTGTGGCAGTTGATGGGAGATTTGGATCATTCTTCTAATCCGATTGCCACTGATTTAGCACTGAGACTGGAAATAGGATGTGATCCTAACTAGAGTTTTGAGCCCTGTCAGTGTGTCCACAGGGACTGGAAGAGTCTAGAGCCCTGTGACTGGGCTGTCAGTGTGTCCACAGGGACTAGAAGAGTCTAGAGCCCTGTGACTGGGCTGTGTCA